GAGTGTTCAAAATATTTTTTAATGAGTTTAATAAAATTAAATGTGTCAGATTTTTAAAATAGATTATATAGTAAACCCATGAATAGTGTTTAATAGAATTGACAATAACAAAACCTGAAATTAAAATATATATATATATATATAATGAAATCGTAGTTTATCTTCGTACATTGTTATGCATTTGTAGTCGAATGTCTTAGATAGGTCCTACGTATTTATATACTCCGTTGCTTCAACTAGACAAATATTGCCTGCTTTTCAAGGAAAGTCAAGGACAATGAATGGGTTAATTCTTTTGTAGTTCCCCTGTTTTTTTGTGCGTGTCTAGCGGTTGAGGATTAAAATAAATATTTTATTTTTATTATTGACTTTTAAGAATCAAATAATAATTTATAGATAACTTTTAAATTAAATATATTTTAAAACTATTTAACGTCAAATAAATGATTGCATATTAAATAAATTTCAAAGAAGAAAATAGCGAAAATAAAATAAAAAAATCATGAGCAAAATGAATGGAAAAAGGGGAATAACTGTATAGTTGTAAATATTGTGAAAATATTGAAATGTATTGGAAAGTTGAGAATTTCTTGAACTTAGGAAATTAGCTTAAAATGACTTTTCATCTACTATTTGAGCCAAGTTATAGTCCTTAAATAAAGATCTTATAATTTATGGAGCTTGGATCTGCTCCTGCATCTCCAACCAACAAATTAAAAGAAGAAATACACTAAAATAAATGAATAAAAATAATAGATATAAATAAAGAAAAAAATAGAGAAAGAAGACGACCAAACAAGATCTAGGTCCTAATTTACGTGTGTTTACATTATATTAGTAAGTTTAACTACTTTTTTCTCCTTATAGCTTTATTAACTTTACCTTCTACTTTACATAATTAACAATATTTTATTTTAATCACTATATATATTATTTTTATTTTCTTTAATCTTTATAATTTTGAAACTTTAAATTTTAATTTTAAAAAATATACATTTCATTTTTTCCTCAAATAAATAAATTTTAGAATATAAAAAAAATGTTATCTATTTTATTAAAAAAAATGGTCAAGATATCTATTTGTGCTTCTTTTTCTTTTTTGTATTTTGATTTTTAGGCAATAAAAGAAAGGAATAAAACTCCAATAGACGGAAAAAAGTGACTGATTTTTATTTAATATTTTCTGACTTTT